AAAAACGGAGGAGACTGTTCATCAGGAAGAATTCTGTCTGGATACAAAAATAAACTTTTGTAAATGTGTAAAGTCATTAAGTCTGGGAGTTACTGCAGTTTGTGATTAGCTGGCCATGCTAATTTGTGCTGCTCAGATTACGGCTGCTAACTGAGAGTAATTGTGCAGGAATGTGTGTTCAAATTTACTGAGGGCAACTTCTCCCTTTGTTTTTGTTGATTAATTTGTATTGATACAGTACCGTGCAAAAGACTCAGCCGCCCGTCATTTCTTTATCTTTTGTTATGACAACGGGAAACAGGTGTGATTTATTAAAACACGTGCACACATGTATGGGATACAGTATGAGGAAAAAAGTTCCCTAATGACACGAGGTCCCTATATATGTACGTCAAAAAGTTCACTGAACTTGGATCTGCACAGAACGTTTTCCTTCGTTGTGTGGTTGAACCTGGCATGGCTGTAGGCTTCATTTCTATTGGCTGAGCAAAGGCAAGTCACAGGGTGCAGCGGTCAAAGTTCAACTGGTTTTGAACTGGGTTTTTTTGGCCTTTTTTATTGGCTAGACCAGGAGTCGGCAACCTGCGGCTCCGGAGCTGCATGTGGCTCTTTAGTCCTTATAGTGCGGCTCCGCGTGGTTTGGGAAAATAAATTATAAGTATTTAGCTAAAGTGTATTTTATTTATGTTAGTTCTTTTTTAACTTGTAGTTCTAAATTGTAAGATTATTGTGATTTTGAAATATAAAAATTAATTTATATTCTATTTTTTTTTTTCATCGCTCAAAATAAGTGTCACACTCGCGGAAGCCGGTGTACCCGCCGAAACGCCGCATTTATCGAGACTTTCAGACCCAGGTAGGCCAGTTATGGATCTTTGGATCCACATTATGTCGGCAGCTGTTCTCCACCATGAACTATGTTAAAACAAACACCGCTCACGCCTGACAGACGACATCTTACAGTCCTGTAAAGAAGAAAGTGACTTCGTACAGCCCCGATTTGAAGACGCTGTGCGCAGAGGTTCATGAGCAGAAGTCCCATTGTAAACATATCACAGCAGACCCGACGATGTTTGCATGAACACGCTTTTCTCACCTCTTTAAGGCGGCGAGGCGTGATTGCGGGTGCCGCTCAGGTGCGTCCGACTCCCCTGCAGCGGCGCTGCAGACCACGCCCCCCCCCACACATTAACCAGGTAAAATACATATTTAGGCAGAATTTTGCAAATATCTATTTGTTTTTTTAGCAGCATAGTGCTTTTTTTCCTAATTATTTTTTCAAAGCCAGGTCAAGGCTCCAAAAGCCCAAAGGCAACATAAGGGTGGCTCACAACAGTTTTTGTTTGCTACATGAATCATTTTAGTTCAGCTTTCCTTTTGTTATATTTCTTTAAGAGTTCAAAATGTGTTAATTACATAAATAAAATGTAATTTTCTCTGTAGCACTTCATGGATTTCATAAGCAACACAGCTTAGTTGTTCACACAAAGCATAAAGGTAAAAAACAATATATGCAGTGTTATCTTCATTTGTCAGATGTCAAAAAGTATTTGTGGCTCCCAGAGTTTTGGAAACCGGGTCCAAATGGCTCTTTGGGTGTTAAAGGTTGCTGACCCCTGGGCCAGACGGAGAGGCTGAAGGGAAAGCAGATTGAGAGAGGGAACATACAGCAAAGGGCGGCAGGTTGGACTCAAACCCGGGCAAGCCACACAGCATATGGTTGCCTGCTCATCCCAGTGAGCTAAACCAGCGCCCAACTTGGTTAAACTTGGCGTGCACGAGTACTCCTTGATGTGCTTTGCCTTTCTCTGCAAAGTGCTAAACCGTTATTGCGAGTAATAGAAATGATTGCAGCACTAAATGGGACGTGCTGTAAAGGATGCCCCCCTGGGTGAAGTGTTTCGGGCATGTCCGACTAGAACGAGACATCTCTGTGAACTCCTTGACATTCCACTTATTCAGGGTTTACCCGGCCCCGGATGAGCAGAAGAAAATGGATAGATGGACAGATGGAAAGTGCAGCCAGTGCTCAAACAAAAACAATGAAAAACCTTCAGAGGCCTGGAGATCTATTGCTCAGGACTACTTCGAACAATAGGACATAGTATGGATCCTTGGAACCAAAGTATGAAGAAATGAGGGACGGCTCGAGACCTTTGCACAGTACAGTATATATTTAGTACTGTTTTTACTTATAATATAAATATAATAAGGTTCTATAATGAAATATATTAACAGTGAAATCAGTTTGGTCTTTGTTGTGTTGGTCACAGTTTAAAATGAAACGAACAGAGTGTGTTCACATCATTCACAGAGGAAAAGAAACACACCTGGGTCCTTCTCTGATCTCTCGGCCATTCCTGTACCACTTGACTTCAGCTTTCTCTTTGGTCAACTTGCATGTAAATTCTGCGTCCTCGAACTCGGTGATCGTTTGGTCTTTTAGGTGCACGTTGAAATCCGTCGGCGCCTCGCTGATGATGAGCTCTGCTGTGGCTTTGTCGTCTCCGGCTACGGCTGTGTACTCACCCTCGTCGGCCAGGGTGCAGTCTTTGATGGTAAGCGTATGCTTGTCTTTGTCGACTCTGTAGACAATGCGTTTGTTGAGGGTGATCTCCTCGCCAGCCTTCATCCACTTCAGAGTGGCGTTGGGCCTGTTGACCTTACAAGAGAAGCTGATGGTCTTCTTCTCCTGAGTGTCAATGTCCTCCGGGGGCACCACAATTCTTAGACTCTCCTCTGAAAAACACAAAGTACAGTCATATTTCAGACATTAATACTGTACTTTGGTACTTTGCATTTATATACTTTGCTAATAATGAATTGGACGTCCTACAATTCTCCAGGTCCAAAGGTGATCTACTGGACCAAGTCTGAGGACATGTTCAGCAACAATACTCGGTGATGTTTGAGTTTATGTGACAGTGGGACTGCAAACACAACAAAACATGCAACCGCTCACCTCTGATGGTCAGGCTGCAGTGGCTCTTGGCGTGGTCTCCTCTCTGATTGGTCAAGTTGATGCTGTAGTTGGATTCGTCTCCCTTCTGGACTTCTTTGATTCTCAGGGAGAAGACATTGTCTCTCTGGGTTATTACGTACTTGCTGCTCTCAAATATGGTGTCGTCGTTCTTCAGCCACTTGGCCTTTGCTCCCTCTGTGTTGACCTCACAGTTCAGCACAACCTCTTGACCTTCTTTGCCCTCCGTGTCTTTTAGAGGAGTGATGATTTTCAGTCTCTCTGCAGAAAATAATAGAGCAGACACCGATGAGAATATTTCTGGGTCATCTGGACAAAAAACGGCTGAACTCCTCGAGCCGGGAAAGAAACAAACCTAAAAATGACACCTTCCTGCACTGCAAGTGCTTCTAGCTATTATTAAGCTTCAAAATGTGTTGCCAAAAATATTATTAATAAAAAAAGATATAGTTTCAATATGAAAAAGAAATTTTACTTCAATAAATTCCTATAATTTGCTTCATGCTGCCAATGTTGAACAAGACTCGAGTTTAAATGTAAAAATAAATGATGAAATTGAGTTTTATTGCATTTTTGTTAAATACAGATTCAGGGAAAATGCTTCGTGTACTTGAATAACAAACTAATTTAAAACTTCATTTGGTCTCCCGGGAGCTTTTCTTCCCATTAACTGAGATAAACTTAAAGTGGGCGGGGCTTACCGAGCACAGTAAGGTCGGCGCTGGCTCTAGTTGGTCCAATCATAACTATGTATCCGCCCTCATCTTTAAGTTCACAGTCCTTGATTTCAAGGATTCGTCTCTTGCCATCGGTGACTATCTGGTACTTCTCTCCGGCCTCGAGCTCCACGTCATCCTTCATCCATTTGACTTCATAGGTCTCCTTGGATACGGAGCACGTGAACGCTGCCTTCTCTCCTTCCACCACTTCTAGGCTTTGTGGCCTTGAGATGAACTCAGCAGCTAATTCTGCAACACACGAAGCATTTCAGAGCTTAGAGATGGTTTTATTTAAGCGAGACTAAGGCTTAGACTCGGGTTTCTTTTAGCCACATGCTAAAGGCTGTCACATTTCAAATCAAGTCAAATCAATCAAGTTATCTGTGAAAAGGTTTGTATTTAGCTGCTTCAAATTGTAAAATATCCTATAACAATGGCCTGAAATGAACCAAAACCTAAAATGGAGTGATAGATGTTGAAAGGGAAGGGTTTAAAATAATAAATCCTGATTTTAGATTTATTTCTCTGCATTTTCTTTGTTGTGTGTGTTACTGCTCTCGCTGTTACTTTGTTCCAAGTGCCGTTAACATTTTTTGCGTACCATTAATCTTGAGATTTCCTGAAGTTTTGTTGCTGGGACTTAGCCTGCAGTTGTACTCTCCAGCATCAGACATGTTCAGATCCTTGATGAGGAGAATCCTTCTCTTCCCATCTACAATTTGCTCATAGCGGCCGCCCTCTGGCAGCTCCGTGTCTCCTTTGTACCAGATAACGTCTGCGCTGGGTTTGGAGATTTCACAAATAAGTTTGACGCTGTCGGTCTCAGTTCCCTCCACGTTGAACAGGTTCTTGGTGAACCTCGTCTCCTCCTCTGCAATGAAAGGAATCCTCCATTAGTTGCTTAAAACCTTTTAATACATTTTTAACAACATATATTTTAGCAGCTTGTAGCAACAGACATAACACAATGTTAGCCAGCTATTTATTTGTTATTAATCATCCTCATAAAATGTTCATTTTTATGAATATTTTTGTGTTGTTGTTCTTTTTGAAGTTCATAAAATGAATAATTAGAAAAATGAGATTAATTTTCAGTAAACTGCCATAACTGCTATCATGCTCACATCATTTATATCTAATTCATAAATTCAGCTTCAGCAAAATTATGTTAGATTATCAAATCAATCTCTCCACTTATCCAACTCATTTTCTAATTTCACTGACTGATCTCCAAATCACAAACATTTATTGGTCACACAAATGTAAAATGTGCTATTTTCCTTGATTTATTTAATTTAATCCAACTAAACCAAACTGAAGAAAATTACTATATGAAGTTGTAATTTTATATTCTTGTGATGTCTGTGAAGGTTCTCAGTCATCCAGGTCATCGTAGTCAAAGGAGTTTGCAAAGAAAAGCGTCTGGACTTCTTTAAGTTACTTGAAGACGTTTCACCTTCATCCGAGAAGCTTCTTCAGTTCTAAGGTCAAATGGTGGAGAGTCCCAGATATAAACCTAGTGGGAGTTTCCCCCCACAGAGGGACAAAAGGACCCCCTGATGATCCTCTAATCGCCTGAGCCAAGGTGTGAAACTGGGTGTGGGTCATTGGAGAGACCAAACAGCCACTTCACAAGCGCATGGCACAACATAGAAGAGCCACCTCCACAGGACAAGACTCAGCAGTCCATCTGCATCTAAAGGTCAAAGGTCACTCTTTCGAGGATGCCAATGTTCACATTTTGGACAGAGAGGACAGATGGTTTGAAAGAGGAGAGAAAGAAGCATCTATGTCCACTGTGAGCGACCATCTTTGAACAGAAGCGGTGGTTTACGACACCAACTCTCTGCCATCTATAATCCAGTTTTGAGTTCCCTCCCAGACGCCTTAACGCCCACTCACATCCTGGGCCATCTGACCTCAGGAATGATAAGGTGGGGCCAGGTTTCACAATGAGCTCACCCGAAACTCTGGCTGATTGGGACCCACACCCAGTTTCACACCTTGGCTCATGTGAGTAGAGGATCATCAGGGGGTCTTTTGTCCCTCTGTGGGGGGAAACTCCCACTAGGTTTAAATCTGGGACTCTCCACCATTCGACCTTAGAACTGAAGAAGCTTCTCGGATGAGAGGTGAAACGTCTTCAAGTAACTTAAAGAAGTCCAGATGCTTTTCTTTGAAATCTTGTGATGGTTCCAATATCTGAGAAAAACTTTACTTTGAGCATCAGAAATTGTTGTCTAATGTTATCTTTAGCTTTGAAGAATTGAACAATTACATCTAACGTTAAATAAAATCAAGTAACCAAACACATTAATACGTGTATGAAAAAGAGGCTGTGTGATTCTTACCAACGACAGTGAGCATGCCAGAGGACTTTGAGGTCTTTGCATCACATTCGTATTCAGCCTCATCGTCAAACACAGACTTGTGGATGATGAGGATGTGCTGGCGACCTTGTGCGATAATTTCGTATTTCTTTCCCTTTCTGATTTCATTTCCGTCCTTAAACCAGCGGACCTGTGAGATGTGAAGGAAGAGGTCACCGAGAGGAAGATCGCTCCAGAGAAAACACGAAATGTAACCTTTAAAATAAGTTCATGTGACAAACGCGTGTGTTCTCACTTTGACGTCTTCTCTGGACACTTCACATTCAAACCTGGCAGATTCCTTCTCTACAACCTCGACGTCGTGGAGCGGCTTTGAGAACTCAATGTGTGGAGCTATTCAGACAAAGAGAAGAGAATCGTTAATACACTCAGTTTCCCACCTCCTGGAGGGCAGGTTACCTTAATAGAAGAGCAAAGCCATGTGGAAGTTTCTTTACTGTTTTAAAAGGCACTTAAACTTTTGTGGGGAGTTCGTGATTTGTGATTTGACAAATGAGTATGTATACAGGCATGCTAAAAGTAATTTGATTTTAATTTGGAGCTTAAAATCTATCTCTTAAAAAGGGTTCCTTAACAAAAACAGAGACTGTTTTTTCAAGGATTCCTTAATGACCAAAACTACTGTCTACTACTCTGTCTCTCTTCCACAGCATGTCTTT